TATATACGAGAAAAATAAGAAAATGTCACAGATTATGAGTCATCTATTTATCCAAATATCAAATGTGATCGGAAGTCTAAATTGTTGATATCGTAGAATGCAAAGTTAACCAAATATTCTTGATATCCTATTATACCAACAAATCATCATTGCGATCTGGCTATAATTACAATATAATTACAATGTAAAATATATTATATTATTACATCTATGAATGGGAAATAGTAATATGTATGCTACATATAACATATATTAGTTAATTATATGCTATATAATAGTTAGACATATATCTGTATTTGCTGAGTATATTATAACAATAATATAAAAATGGAGCTCCTAATTATTTTACCAATTTAGACATATAATCTCAAATATAAGACACTTTTCTCTCAAAGTACAAGGTATATTTTGTCTACTTGACAATCAATTAAGTACTTAAATAAATAAAATTTAAGAACTTTTACGTAATTGCTTTCTTTCGTCAATATATGTACGCATTTAAGAGGTTATCACAGGAAAATTTTCTCGCATAAATGATGCGCGACGTATTTCAAAACGACACATGTCGCACACCATTATTCGAAAGCAAAAGGTATACACTAACGGCATATCAGTCAATTTAAAATTAATAAAAAGACTATATATTATATGAGAGAAAGATAGAGAGAAACTTAATTACCCTGAAGCTGATAGCCCCGTTGCAATTAACGTCGAAGGCCTTGAACACGTAGTGGGCGTAGAGACTGGAGTCTGCAATTCGCATGAGGGGTAGCCATTAACTAATTACGCAAAAACGTGGACTGTTATTTAATTGGAACTCACTGCCGTGCGGGAAGAATTTCGCGTAAATGTCCTTGAATGAGTCCTCGTGCACTACTCCCTCAGGACACTCCTGAAATAAAAGAAAAACAAAAAAAGCCATGAAAAACGATCATATTCAGTTCCACGAGAGTTTTATCAGAGCGAGATTAAGTGACACTCTATGTATATATATTTTCCGGGGATCATTTGTTCAAACGAGCAATGCTATATCTTTCTGTGGCTTGAAAATATGTGCTGGTGAGACACCGATGACTCGTTCGTCCATCAATAACGCACAGGATAACACTCGTTGTTTTAATATCGTGACACTAGTAGTATAGAAGTGAAACAGTTGATAAAACCAATTACATAAGTAACAGTTTTATTATTATCGATCCACATATTTTCATATCCCTCGTGTAAGAAATAGCAAATCGAAACTACGAACGTATCGTAAATCATCTACGATAACGTTTCGCAGACTATCATGAAGTAATTCTCATATTTTCTATCTTTGTGCAGAAGCAGACGAGAACAATGAGGATCCCACACACGATATCGAAGAACGTTGTAGCTGCATACAGGTAAAATAGAATAGAATAAATAAGTTCCTCTCATGATGCTTTCTCTTATCTCACCTCCCCTATATCTTGATTTCCATATATACGTGCAAATCGAATTTTCCTTGAATAAAGGAAAGATATTCTTTGAAAGATGTTCTTTTAAAGTAGATTTTTTTTAAGCAATTTAATTTCGACAACGCGAAGTATCCACAAAGAATCGCGTCACGGATGCGGCAATCCCCGAAATAAATCTTCGAGATATCTTTATAGAGATACGCAAATAATATTGATTTCACTCATTTAATATACATTGCATTTATCTTGGCAAATTGATTCGCAGATGCTCGCCGGAAACCTCACTGTTACCACAGGAGCAAGGAAGGACGCTTCGGGCGGAAGACGCCTCGTGGGACGACGATTTAATCCCCGATTTAAAAATTCTTGCGCTTCGTACCATAGTTTCGACCTGGAAAGATAATCCTATTCTGGAGGATCTGCCGACGTGCGTCGACAGGGATGTACTGCTGGAAACACTACCGACTGATCTACCCTTCGAATTGACAATATCAAGAATCGAGGACGAGTTTTATTGGGAACGTGCGGCCAAGGACAGGTAAGACGAACCACTTATCGATTCTCGATTACATGAAATATTATTACGTAATAGCTATCGAACTAATACTATCGAATGCTATCGTGTACTTTACATCGAAATTGCACATTAATCGTGACTAAATAATAGTTGACTTTAATTGACGATAATTTCTGATCTTATAAAATTGAAAAAAAAAAAACAATTATGCAAATATAATCTAGAAGACTGTAAGTAAAAAGTCAAAAAGTTTCAGAGTCAATTTTTCTGTCACATCTATGTAATTAGAAAATTCAATTTAAAACTAAGCGTTCGCCTCGTAGGACTAGAGAATTAAAATTGTGATAGTTGATGTATAAAAAAAAACGTCCCATATTATATCCTTTATTATTTTCTACAAAACAACATAGAATCGGAAGGGGACACTTGAATCTCTTCCTTTGTTAGTCTAATCTCTTATCTTAATTGGTTGACTTTGATGATACTTTTAAATTTTAATTATGTTTAATTAATTTCATTTTAACTTTCATTTATCTTACGAAAATATTTCTGTCTATAAAGGATATATTTATCCGTTAAAATACCAATGATTTCATGTAAACAAATTACGAATGCTTTTAAAGCGCATAATCAATTGATATTAAAAACGTTTGTGTAAGCAATTTGTGTACAATTTAACTTTCTCTTATCATTACAGGTGGGAATACAACGATCCAAGTGAGCATGGTAACTCATGGCGGCAATTATATTGCGAACGCCACTTAGCCGAGTATCTGGAAACTTTGCAGGCGAGCTACTTCGAGTCTCAAAGAGAAGAATGTGAGAAATTGATGGCTCTCGTAAAGAACCATATACATATCATAAGGCTTCGTTCTCTCGTGCCAATCAAGTAAGATGTACATTAAATCCTACATTACTTTTTTTGTGCATGATAAAAATTAATCAAGACAAATAGAAGGAACATGTACCCGGGGGAAAGCTTTTTCGTTTTTTTACAAACTTAATACAAATTTATTATACGCGCGGTAAACGGGTATATAAGGTGACTCAATTTGGTAAGTTTACGGAGTTTAAAGAGGATGGTTCTTAAAAAAAAATAGATATAAATGTTCTCGAAATTTCGAAAAAATAGCTTTGAAGAATTAGAAAATTACGAATCTATTAAGTTTTTAATATAATATTTTGAAATAAGATTGCATCTAATATAGCCTATTTACGATCTAAACAATAACTACATTATTTACATATAGTTAAATCTTTATTGCACCTATCTGAATATGTCTTATATTTTGAATTAATATTAACGCGAAAATCCTTCAGATTTTCCATTTTGAATCTGATCATCAGTTTTCAGCAAAAATCGTTGCGATTTTTGCTGAAAACTTTTAGGTACATCATATTGGGTAAAGTTATAATTTTAACTTATAATTTTAATTGTTTAATGAAATATACTTCATGTTAAAATTAGAATCAGAGAGACAGAAATAGAGTTTTCGTTAATGAGATACTGTATAAAAATTTGCAAAATCTTACGGAAAATACGAAAAATGGATTTATTCACGGGTTCTGTTACGGGTTGTAACAGGTACAAATACAGTAGATGTATTGTGTAGCGCTAGCGTTTGAGCAGACCTTGCACTGCTTCACGCGCTCCATACAGAAATCCACAGTATTTACGTCAGGCCGAGAACACATCGGAAAATTATTATTAGAGCCGGTCAGTTTGTCGGCTAAAATCGTAAGTGCTTGCACTTGAAGATCCAAGGAGTGCGATGGACTCGTGGCGTAAATATCGCACGAAAGCGTGGCGGCCGGTTCTATAATTGGCCAGAGTATCTAGGAGGCCAATTATAATCGGACGCCGGAAAATCGCGAATACAGAGTTTCAAATTCCTTCATAATTTTCGTTTTCGCGATATTATATGCATGCAATTATTTTATGTCTTCTGTAGTCTTCATTTGATTCTATTTCTACGAGATATGAGTCTATACACTGTTTTAAATTCATAATGTCAAATTATACTATAATTTGAGTCATTTTTCCCCTCATTCATATTCCCAGAGGTCGCCATTGCTCCTATTCGATAAGTCATTAATTTATCTAAAAAGTTAAATAATAAGAAGTTAAATAATTTCATTCAAGAAATGTATTAAATTTAATTCAAATTTATTTCATTATTTACTAAGTGCATACGTTAATAAATGCTGTTTACTTTTAAACTAAGCAATTCGATCATAGAAATGAGTTGATGAGATGTGGTTGTTTTCTATTAAAATAATATATTTTGACGTACTTGGAAGTTAAAAATAATAAAATGTTATTTAATTTAAGAAATTGATTTAAATTATGAAAGCCTCGTTGTAATCACTTTGCCAGCAGTTTGGACTTCGCCAAACAGTTCGCCCAACAATTGCCATTACTTTCATTCACACCTTTACATCAAATTTATATCTGTACAAATTCTGTTGCAAATTCTTCGTATAATCGATCATTGAAGAGAACACGTGCAAATTTAGCTGCGCCAAGTCGAAATCACGGCAGAGGCAGACATATGGCAAATATACTCGCGAGCGAATAAACTTGTTAATGCATTAAAGATTCTAATTATATACGAGGGAGAAGATATGCACGCTATCGAATTACCGAAGTAATTTTGAACGATGAATTTTAGAACGGTATAAATTTTTGCGAAATTGCAACAATCGCGGCCAAGCTATGTGTGTGATAGTATGACAGTCATAAGCTGCAGTTATATACGCCATTTTCGAAGCGTAATTTCGCGAAGTAGAAAGTAACTCAACAATAAGAATCTTGTTGGACTATCCCTATGAATACACAAAGAATACAATAAGAAATAAAATCGAAGCTAAATCTTTATTCTTTAGTACGTAAATATTTCGGTGCGAATTTATCAAATTCTGCCAAACTGCGCGCCGAATTAATTTTTTTCTTGACACGCTATACAGAAGTGCAATAATACACAAAAATTAAATTGTCTAGCAATTTAATAATTTGATGCTTATAATTTGATGCATCTTAGAAATATTTGGCAGAATTTGATTGATATGTAGTATATAAATTCATATCAAATTATTGAGGTACTAAAGATGTAGTTTCGACCGTTATGAATTTTAGAAAGTAATACAAACTATGTGACAAGAGAACGTAAACAAAACCTCTCTTCTGACAACAAATCTGTTTTTGCAAGCGTATTATGTAATACAAAAACATTACAATCATACAAATATATACGATAAAAATATTAAGGCAAATTATTGACGTGCAGTTCGTATAAATTGGAAATTGTAAAATTCATGCAAATATGTTATTAGATACCGATCCTTTTCTTTTAATAAAATCTTT